ATAAGTTTAAGGGCAACAGCCAAGCTGACACAGTAGACTTCAGTATTATTGCAGTAGCCAGTAAGGCACTGGGACCTGCTGACATAATGGAGCACCACAGTGGGAGCCAGAGCCCTTTATTGAGTATGGGAGACTTGGGGAAGGATAAGACTCAAAAACGAGTAAAGGATGGCAATGGCACTGGGAATAGCAGTCTTTCAGGGCCAGCATTAGACAGTAAACCAGGAAAACGTAGCCGAACCCCTTCCAGCGATGGCAAAAGCAAAGACAAGCCTCCAAAGCGGAAAAAAGCGGACACAGATGGGAAGTCTCCATCTCACAGTTCTTCTAACAGGCCTTTTACTCCACCTGCCAGCACAGGTGGGTCCAAGTCACCTGGAAGTTCAGGAAGATCTCAGACTCCTCCAGGTGTTGCCACACCACCCATTCCTAAAATCACCATTCAGATTCCCAAGGGGACTGTAATGGTGGCCAAGCCCTCTTCACACAGTCAGTACACCAGCAGTGGATCTGTGTCTTCCTCAGGAAGTAAGAGCCACCATGGCCATTCTTCTTCCTCCTCTTCCTCTTCCACTTCTGCTTCAGGAAAAATGAAAAGCAGTAAATCAGAAGGTTCTTCAGGTTCCAAGATGAGTAGCAGTATGTATTCCAGCCAAGGGTGTTCTGGGTCTAGCCAGTCAAAAAGTTCATCCCAGTCTGTAGGGAAACCAGGTTCTTCTCCTATTACCAAACATGGGCTCAGTAGTAGCTCTGGGAGCAACAAAGTGAAACCTCAAGGAAAGCCATCATCACTCATGAACCCATCTTTGAGTAAACCAAACATCTCTCCTTCCCATTCGAGGCCATCTGGAAGCTCTGACAAACTTGCTTCTCCAATGAAACCTGTACCTGGAACTCCCCCATCCTCTAAAGCCAAGTCTCCTATCAGTTCAGGTTCTGGTGGCTCTCATATGTCTGGGACTAGTTCAGGCTCTGGCATGAAGTCTTCAGGGTTGGGCTCCTCAGGCTCATTGTCTCAGAAAACACCCCCATCATCTAATTCTTGCACAGCCTCTTCCTCTTCCTTTTCTGGTGGCTCCTCCATATCTTCATCTCAGAATCAGCATGGGAGCTCCAAAGGGAAATCTCCCAGTAGAAATAAGAAGCCATCTTTGACAGCTGTCATAGATAAACTGAAGCATGGGGTTGTCACTAGTGGTCCTGGAGGTGAAGACCCAATGGAGGGTCAGATGGGAGTGAGTGCCAATTCTTCTAGCCATCCTATGTCCTCCAAACACAATATGTCGGGAGGGGAATTCCAAGGAAAGCGGGAAAAGAGTGATAAAGACAAATCAAAGGTCTCTGTCTCTGGGAGTTCAGTGGACTCTTCAAAGAAGACTTCAGAATCTAAAAATGTGGGGAGCACAGGGGTGGCCAAAATTATCATCAGCAAGCATGATGGGGGATCCCCCAGCATTAAAGCCAAAGTGACTTTGCAGAAACCTGGGGAAGGTAGTGGGGAAGGGCTCAGGCCTCAGATGGCCTCTTCCAAAAACTATGGCTCTCCTCTGATCAGTGGCTCCACTCCAAAGCATGAACGTGGTTCTCCTAGCCACAGTAAGTCACCAGCATATACCCCTCAGAACCTGGATAGTGAGAGTGAGTCAGGTTCCTCAATAGCAGAAAAGTCCTACCAGAACAGCCCCAGCTCAGATGATGGCATCCGTCCACTTCCAGAGTATAGCACAGAGAAACATAAGAAGCACAAAAAGGAAAAGAAGAAAGTAAAAGATAAAGATCGGGACAGAGAACGGGACCGGGACAAAGAACGAGACAAGAAGAAATCTCATAGTATCAAGCCAGAGAGCTGGTCTAAATCACCTATTTCTTCAGAGCAGTCCATGTCCATGACAAGTAATACCATCTTACAAGATAGGCCCTCAAGGCTCAGCCCTGACTTCATAATGGGGGAGGAAGATGATGATCTTATGGATGTGGCTCTCATTGGCAATTAAAAACCTTGTTTTCTAAAAGAAAAAGAAGAAAAAACCGCATCAATTAAAAGCTCCGTCTAATGAGAATTGTAGAAAATCATCCTAAAGGATAAACCACAGGGGTCTGCTTTGCCCCAGATAATCTTGGGTGACTTGGTTTTGACTGTGCTTGGCAACATTAGACCTAGAGAGACCCTTGTATTGATCTTTGGCTATGGGGTTTGGTTCTGGGCAGCCAAGAATTCTGTGTTACTTTGCCAGAGAAAGTAGAAATTGCAGATTTGCTTTGGGTGGGAGGGGAAGGGATGTGGGAAGGGAAAGGGCGGGAAATAGTTATGCTGAAAATTTTCATATATATTTTTTTCTCCCTTTATCCATTTTTAGGCCATGTTTTAAACTGTCATTTTAGTGCATGTGTTGGAAAGACTGGGTAGGAAATGAAAAAGCAGTATATTCCTTGATGCATTTGCATGAAGGCTGTTCACCCTTGTTCGCTTGTCCATTTGAGGCAGGCGCAAATGAAGAATCTCAGTTGCTTTTAGACACTAAATAATGCAGGGTGTCTGCTTATGAGGAGTAGGCTTGGGGACAGGAAGGTGATTTTAGCTATTTATTTGTCAATATTTTAATACCTTGTTTTTATGCAGTGTTTCTCTTCTAATTCTATAGGGTGTAGAGTTCAAAGAAATTGAAAAGAAAAGAGCAAGGCCTGATAGTACAAAGTATGGACCCAGAGTTGTCACTGCAGCATTGGGTCTAGTCGGTCTGATAAAGGCCCATCTTTGAAGTCAGTTTAACAAAAAACAGAATGCTTTGAATTCTGTATGAGAATTAATTTCATAGAGTTTTTCATAGGGCTTATTGATACCCTAAAAATTGTTAGGGGATACTTTCCTCCTCCTGGGGAGGTTAGGTTTGATTTTAATTTCTTTTTTTTTTCCTTTAAAACAAAAACAAACCCAGAAAACCTGGGATGGCTTTCAGGATGTTAACATGTTTTTAAATACAACAAAATTGTGGTTTAATGTCATAGCTCCCTAGTTTAGTAACATTTAAATCACATCAGGGCTAACACTTCTTCTGTCTTTAAATGTGCCAAAAGCCCTCTTTCCAATATTTTGCCTGCAGGAGAAGTGATTGCCTTTCCTGAAAGCTGAGTTCCCTATCTCCCTTCATCTGAAGGAATGGGAACTCAGATCTCTGGTCACTCCACTGTGTGCTCCCTAAATGAGAGAAGTTATGAATTTGCAGCCATAGTTTCTCTTGAATCAATTTCAAGCTCACTGAGGAAGTGAGGTGCCTGGAATGATAGGTGGGCATGGAGATATATCATAGCTACTATGTAGCTACATAATTGGACCTTTTGGAGAAACAGGTCTTCACCTGACTTCTTAGGGACTACAATAATAGGCACTATAGAAAGAAAGAAATCCAGGAAAACAGTACAGGTGCAGCACAAGCTCTCATATTTGGAGGGTCCTCTTGAAAAAAAAAACTGCGGCCTTACTTTGATTCTGACACCTGCACTGTGCCATCCTTGATTTCATCCATGATCTGCATCAATAGGATGGGGCCTTCTATCCAGCACAACTCTTCTGGACTTTAAAAAGAAATGTGCCAGGTTGTGCATTGTTTTTAGTGTCAGAGTTGAGTGACCTTGACAAACAAGAAAGAGTTTTTCCCAGCTCTGTTTCTGCAGGTTGGAGTTAGCATATTGTTGGAAAGTCAGCTTTGGCTTTTTCTCTGGGACTCTCTTGAGTTCTTCCTCCAGTGTTCTCCCTTTTTGGGTTATCCATAGGCCGGGACTGACTTTTCACCAACCCTGCCACCTTTGTGTCCCTAGGTAATAGGAAGTAGGAAATGTTGCTAAGTAGAGCAAGGACAGTTATCTCTTACCATGTCAGAATCAAATGACTTGGGTGACACTAAAGGGACATGGGCAAGGTGATACCAGAGAGCTTTATCTCGAGATGCTGATACAGTGGCAGTCTCTCAGATATAAAACCAGGTAGAACTTTTCACAGGTAGTCACCTGGTTTCAATCCTCTTCCATTGACTTCTGCAGCAAAAAGTTTTAAGTTTTCTTTTTTTGTGGGAAAAACCTTAAAAAGGGTCACTAGGTAATATTGGAATACCAGGGGTTAAACTTTCCCAAATGGTTGGTACAAATACCAAAACAATTAAACTGGGAAGCTTTTTCTGTCTTTCCAACCCAGATCAAAGAATCCTGAGTTAGGATGTAGATGAAAGATAAGCCCCAGCATTTTCTGGATGAGCACGTCCCACACTTTGACCCAGCATCTGAACTTGCTTAACAGGAAGCCGGGGTTAACCTGCTGCACCCTGCATGACAACCAGGGAGCACTGCATTTCTCCATGGGGTGGAGAAGAGGTGAAATAAACCAAGCCTGGAACTCTCCTCCTCCCTCTTCTTTCAAACAGCAAGGAAATTAAGCATACGTGTACTTTTTTTTAGCTGGTGTCTTGTGTATATTTAGTTTGACCTGATTCCCTGTATTCTCCCTCTATCTTCCCCTCCCAAATGAAGAACAAAGCAGACAACAATCCTCAATTCTTTTATGAGATTAAATTTTATTTTGTCTTCTGGTTTTCTTGTTAGGAATGGTTAGTCAAAATAGTAAGCTGCTCTAATGCACATGAGGATTTCAAATGATCCAAAAAAATAAATTGTGTTTTTAAAGCAAAGTATTTGAGAGGGAAACATGAAGCAGGGTATATTACTTGCCAAAACAAGGATTGAGGATGTTGGTTTTGTACTGACAGGATTTTCCTTCCTAAGGTCCAGGCCAGAAAATGCAATACAGCAATATCATGAACTCCAGTTAGAACAAACTTTTTCAGGGAGCCTATGAGTCATGCAGTATCCATGATTAAGTCACTTCTTGCAGATGCCACAGTAAAGGAGGTACTTGTTCATAGTGCAAGGGCATTCATTCTCTTAGGTTGGGGAGGGGCTGTTATTTTGTCTTTATTTTTACCTTGGGGTTGGATTCTTATCTTTTTTTTGGGGGGGGGGTGGTTAACATCAAAAGCCAGGATGGGAATTATGCTAAACTGTAGGAACTGAACTTGTACAGTTCTTGAGTTCAGAAATGTGCATCAGGAGCAGGGGTGGGTCTTTTCTAAATCATCCTAGAAAGAATGTTTTCCAATTTGACTTTTGTTTGTGCAATTTTGTAAATACTTTGGGGTTTTCCTTTTTTTTTTTTTTTTGGAAAGTAGACAAAAATCTGTTTTGTGGGTTTGTTTTTTCCAAAACATTGCAAAAGAACCTGTTTATTTACTTGCAAATAAATTTCTTTGATAAGAAGCAATCTTGTCCCAAGTGTGATAGCTTTGTGCCTGAAATCTTATTTTTTTCCCCAAACTAAAATTCACAGTGTAACTCCACGTTTCCCCCCCCAACAACTATTACTTTTTATTCATTCATTCCACAGAAACTTGTCTTTAAAATTAAATTTTTTAAAAAGGCACAGAAGACTCCCTGAAGAGAGATTAGTTTTATTGGATTAGTGGTGAGTTTGGCATGGGTGAATCAGCATAAGCTGGAAAATAGGTGAAGAGAATATGTATTTCTTTTTATCTTAAACTGCCTCAAGGGAAATGAATAACCCTTTAATTATATTTGATCACACTGTCTGTGGTTAGGCAGTAAAATCCTTTTAAATGGTTCATTTAAGCCAACAGGAATCCTGCTGTGGAGGCCCTACACTTGAAGGAGACAACCACGCAGGACCGATTGGTGTTAACAAGTAACTAAAATGTGTGCAAAGAGCATTGATGTAGGGATTTCCATTTCTGGAATCAGCCTTTGGTCACTTTGATTATGTTAAAGTAATAATATGGAGGAATAAAATACACAGACTTTTATGATTCACAGCTATTTACAACTGGCGTTTGAGTGTGCCATACTTCAGAAAATGAGAGTTTCATGAAAAACTAACATTACAGTTTGGTAGAGCAATATTATTTTGTTTGAAAGTTACTGGTATAGGACCCTATTGCTGAGACCTTAAAGTCCAACTCTACTACCACTGACAAAGCTATGTTAATTGTTCAAGTAATTTTTATTTGTGAAGATGAAAATAAAGTTAACTAGAGATAATTCCACAATTGGCCTTATATTTTACATTACTCACTCTGATAAGTTTCATATGTAACTGAAAAGTTAACTTCAGACTCAGTACAAATGCTTATTAAAGGGGTGTGAGAAACTAGTCCATTCTTTCAACTTTTTTTGAGCATATATATTCAAGGTAGATAGTACTACTGCAGACTAAGTCTTAGCTCCAGTGTTTCAGCTGTGTTACGCCTGGCAGATTAATTTTACTGAATCGCAGTTTGCTTTGCTTACTTGGAAAATGGGGCTTTTGATATACTACATAATTGACGGTCACAAACATAGTCTGTATGAGTATTAACATTTTAGCAAAGATTTAAAGGAGGAGTAAGAACTCTCGTTTAAAAAATTTCTGCCATTAGGTCATTGACCTGTGACATCATTTGACCTGTGATCCTGTTTCCTTATCTGTAGGATCGAACTGTGTGTAATGTGTTTAAAGTCCCTAAGTGGTGTTGAGACAAAACAAAAAGGACCCAATATTCTAATGGAGGCATGCAACATTTAAAATAGAAAAGGCTAGGGACAGACCACTGATTTTATTGCTAAAGAGAACTCTTGATAAGGAAATTCCTATGAAATCTGGTGGGGACCTTCACTGCAGTTGAATTTTACAGAGTTGCGGAGCACAAAGAGATTACTTCACTTGCTGAGGATCGAAGGTCTTACTATTCTTCTCCTGGGCTTGTCTTTATTGCATTTAAACAGTAAAACACAAAATTTGGGGAGGGGGGCAGATTGTAAAAGATTTCCAGAAGGCAATACTGGAGTTGAGCCTTGGAAAGGTGGAGGTAAGGAGGAAGTTAAATTCATTCCTGGCCTCGAGGCTTGGAGAAAGTCTATTCAAACGTATATGATGTGAGACAGAATATTGAATTCTGGAACCACCAAATAGGCCAACTTGGATGGAACATAGCACGCATGAAGTAAAGTAATATTTTAGATTATGTCGGTAATTGTGTGGAAGATGGATTGGAGAGGAGATGGGAAAGTTTTATTTTTTATTATTTATACTACCTACTTCATAGAGTTCCTGTGAGAAAATCGCTTTGTAACTTTTAAAGCGCCACAGAAACAATTAATTATTGCTGAGAATGCTCATTCAGATGGTTTCCTAATCCGTGAGATGCCTTCCTACTCCGGGCTTGAGTATCATCTTCCTGATGTCGTGGTCCTCTTCGAACGAAGGATAAACCATACACGCACACAAGTCAGGGCCAGGACCTCACAAATAGTAGGCGCCATGGGACAAATATTATTACAATAAAAGACTTTTACTTCCGTAGAATCTTTCAAATTAAATGGAGGAGTATTCCCTCGGATCCTGCTGTGTCTAAAGATTCTCATGTCTCCTGGCCCTTTCACGCTTGTTTCTCCCGCTAAAATGTCGTCAAGAGTAGGGTTTCACCAATAGGCGTCTTGATTGGAGGACGGACAGACCTAGTAGGCCATTGGCCGAGGGAAGCGGGACGAAGGCTGAAAGGGCGGGGCCAACGCGGAACAGCCCAGCTCCTCCCCGTCTCGCCTCCCCCACCCCCACCCCCACGCGCCCCTTCCCCATCCCTGGCCCTAGACACACTATCCATGCAGGCGTGCCGCACCCCCTGACTCCCCAGGTCTGGGACTCTCTTTTCCCCCTTCTCCCACCTGGTGCGGTAGGGGCCCTCTAAACCCCTTGGTGCCATGCGCCCCCTCCCCAGCCAGGCCATGCACGATGACACACACCCCCCGCAGCAGCCTCCGGGGCCTCCCCGCCGCTCCCCTTAAAGCAATCCACGGGGGCGGGGGAGGCGGCGGCAGCACGAACACCAACACGGCCCTAAGCGAAAGAGGTCCGGAAAGAGAGAGAAGGAAAATGGCTCCAAGCCGGGACCGCCTGCTGCATTTCGGGCTCAAGTCTACCGTGAGTGCTAGTGGGGCGCCAGGGGGAGAGGAGCCTGGGGGCCCGGGGAATGGTGTCCTGTACGGTAGGACAGCACACACGTCGCCCCGGGGTGATTCTTGACGGGGTGGCTCGTGGCCGATCCCCGCGGGGGTCAGGCGTTGGGGGTGGGGGCGGGGGGGTGCTGGCTTCCAGCAGCTCGGGAGCCTTCCTCCTCCTCCCGACCTGCACGCGCACAAGCGCAAGCACTTACGATCACCGCCCCCCAAAAGACACACTCAGACACACACGCCATCTACGCTCACACACCAACACCCAGCTTTCCTTTGGCTCCTTTGATACTGAAGGGGCTTGCCCCGCCCGGAGGGACTAGGGATGGGCGGGGGTGGGGGCTCGCCCGGAGAGGAGGAGGTGGTCTCTCTCGCGCCGCCGCCTTGCGCTCGCGCTCGTGCTCGCGCCTCTCCTCCCTCTCCCCCTCCCCCCTCATTCTTCCCCTCCCCCATCCTTGCTGGGGCCCCGGCGGCGCTGCCCAATGAACGGCGGCGTTGCTGGCAGGTGGGGAGTGTTTTTGTTTTGGGTTGAAGTTGAGGCTGGGGAGAGAGAGAGATAGAGAGACAGAGACAGAGAAAGAGAGAGAGAGAGAGAAAGAAATAGAGAAGAGAGAGAGGGAAGAGAAGCGAGCCAGCGGCTCCCGCTGCGGGAGGTGGTGGAGGCCCCGCCGGAGTCGCTGCTGCTGCCGCTGTCGCTGCCGCGGCCTCCTCTCCCCGGGCTGGTGCCCGCTTCCCTTGCCCTCTCAGCACCGGGCCGTCCCGGCCCTCCCCGCGGGCCCCAGCCAGCCTCCCCGTCTGCACGCCGCAGCGCCCGGTCGCGGCCGCGCCCGCCGGCCCTATGAGGAGGGACATGAACGGGGTGACCAAGAGCAGGTTTGAGGTGTGAGCCCGGGGCCAAGGGGGTTGGCGAGAGAGGGAAAGAGGGGAGGGGAATTTCCCTTGCCCACCTACCCCACCCTAGCCAGGCCCCGGTGGTCCGGCCGTGCGTCCATAGATCTGGCTGCCAGGTTTCCTTACCGACCCCTCTGCAGCCCAGCTGCCCCACATCCTCCGCCGCCGGCCGGGCCGTGGACGCCGCCCGGCGGGGCCGTGGCCTCCTCCGCAGACAATGAGCCCTGGAAGGCGCCCTTCCCCCTCCATCCAGCCAGTGCCTTGGGGCGCCCTCATTTCTGAAACGTACCCCCTGCTCCTCCCCGCGTCCAAACTCCTTACAACTCTCCAGTCGTCCCGAGGGGCGACTGCCGCCCTCCCCCCTTTTTCTTGTTCCTCTCCCACCCCCTTCTCGTAGAATGGACTCCAGATTAAGATCCTGGGTGAAGGGGTAGGTAGTCAAGGAGGGGAGGAGATTCTTCGGGCCGGACCGTCCTGCCTCAAAGTAGGGAAGCCGGAGTGGGAATCTGGGGGAACCCAGAGAGGAACATGGGTTCTGGTTTCTTGTTCGGGTTGAGGTTTTTTTGTTTATATTTTTGGTTGCTTGGTTTAGGTATTGTTCTCAAACTTCCTCTTCTCTGTTGTTTTGAGGGATCTTCTTAAAGGTATGTTGGGGGGAATGAGAGGAGAGAGATCCGAGAGACTTATTCAGAAAATTCACCCCAATCTATAATTCTCACCCCCCCCCCAGTCTTTCCCCCACCCCCTCCTAGTTCTGAGGTTGTACATACTTCACAGAGTGATATAAAATTAAAGGCTGGAAGAGGAAACGTGAAAACAAAGTAGACGTCGTGGTGCGAGTTAGGAAGCAAACTGCTGTATGTTTTAATTGTCTCTAGGTGAATTACGGTAGCACAGTAATATAGGAAGGGGATAAGGATGATAAGGCAGAGACTTCCAGAAGAAGCAGAGAGTAAACGTTACATGGCCTTTTTGGGCAGAGACTCAGGTTGATCTGGGATCACACACAGCTTAGTGTACATAGCCAGGTGTTTTCCTTCATTTCCATTTGAAGGATGACATTGGAAAAAGCTAGTTAGAAAAGTAAGAGTTGTAGGAAGTTCTAGACACCTCTAGGGAGAAGATCTTACCAAAGGATCTTAAATGTTTATTGATTGGTTTGACTTTATGTGGTTTTGCCGGTTTGAGTGGGTTATAAAATACATTGTTACAGTACTACGGGAAGAATTAGAGAGAAAAGTTTCTAGTCTCCTTAGTATGTTTCTTAAATTGATCAGATAGGTTAAAAAAGGTATAGAAATGTATTTTAAGCTTCCTATTGGATTTGCACTTTTACAGAAGCTAGGGTTCCTAAATAGAAAGTAGACATAAAGAAGTATGTTTGGTTTCAGATTATTAAGTATTAGTATACAATTCTAGACTGTAACTAAAATAATATTGAATGGAAACTTTGAAGCTCACAAGAATCTTGAAAGAAAAGGCCAAATGTACAGAGATCTAAATAGTGGTTATATAGATTTTAATATTTCTGGTTCATTTTCTGTTTCTTGTTTAAGCTTATTTCCATTTTAGGTAGCACTTCTTTGGAGCTATGCTTTTAAATTATATTGCTCCTTTGCATTTTATTGTAGATATTAATTCATAACTTAGGTATAGCTATGATATATGCAAAAACAAGAACAATCAGATTTCTCTCCGAAGGAAATGTCTTTATTGAAAGTCAAGTTGCCTTATTATAGGCATGTAGCTTGCAAGTGAAAATTTCTGGAACTGACTTTAAGGTAGGAAAAAGAAGAGAGAAAATTATTTGAAAAATTATTTGTATAATGTTGTTACTGAATGTATGATTTAAAATATTCTGAACCAGGGGACAAATGAAAGATTTAGGAATCAGGAAATCTTTTAGGGAAATTCTTCATCTAAAATGAGTTTTTCTTAAAATATTTGCTTTTCTTAACCCTGTTTTTGCTAGCAAAATTATTAGTAAATTGTTGAATATTATTTAAAATAAAATTTTTGCTAACATCATTAAAAATATATCTTTATATGGTAAAGCACAACAATCTTTCACCTATGTATATCCCTGTACAGAAGTTTTATATTTCATAAGATAAGGAAATATGTAACATGGACAGACTTATACTTTAAGAAAGGCTGTAAGTCTATAATGAGAAAATACTTTTGTGTTTTGGGCTTGTTAAAATTATTAAAGTCCTTTGTGGTGAGAAGACTTTACATAGCATGCATTGGGAAGTCAGTTCTTTTCATCTCTTGCCCAGAAGTAAAAATGCTGAAAGTTTTTGTAAAATGTAGCATTCACTATGAATTCCTGTTAAATGTTATGGTAATGTAGACCAGCCAAAAAGTAGGATATTTTAAAGTAAATATATAGTTGACTTCAAAATGCTCAAGTGATGAGAAAATTAATATTGTTAAACTCCTAAATAACGATCTCAGTGAGATCAAATGCTTGTAAAGGTAAGGAAAAAGTAGTTAAAACTTAAACAGACATAAAATGTAAACATATGCCAGACACTAAGGCATGGGTGTCCTCAAAAGTTCCTGCTTGATACACTATCAGGCAGTTTCATAGACAACATAGAGGTGCATGGGTAAGCTGCGATATATTACTAGTGAAAGACTATTCAGAAGAAATGTAGCAATAGATATCAGATGTACCACTCCAAAAGGCTGTTGATATATGGAGATAAAGGGATAAAAAATGAAAAGCCTCCATTCTTCATTGGCAGCCCTACATTGTTAAGAGATTAGAAGACCTTTGCTCATGTTGGGTGGATTCTTCTTGTTAGAGATTTATTGGAAGTCATAGAAAACACGTCACAAAGATAAGAAAGTGTGTATGGATAGTCATCTGTACAGTTGGAAGGAGCTCATGATCACAGAATCCTTGAAATAATGAAGTGGTTACTAGGCATTTAATACCCAGCCAATTAAAATGCATGGAAAAACTGTCTTTTCTGAAGTTTTTCATCCTTTAAATTTTGTTTCATTTTCACTCTCAGGACAACCAATCTATTCTTGTCCTTCAAGTTACAGGTACCGTACAATACTATTTTATAATACAGTTGTATAAAAGCAATATTATAACTAGACTCTTGAGTGAATTATGTTACATTGGGGAGTTACGGTTATCATGCATTTTACAAAATTATAAAAGACTTTTACTACCACAGTGTTGTATAAAATATGCTTGATATTTAATAGTGTCTTAGTACTCAAAAGAATTCTATTGAGATCAATGGGAAAGAGATACTGCTAATCCCATTTTATGATCTTTATATAGGTTTCTTAATTTTATGTCACTTAGGTGCCTTGGTATCTTTATCATGAGGTTTTAATGAGAAAAAAGTACCTTATTTGGATATATAAAAAATACACACCCTAAAAATTTTCACTTGGGTATTCATGGTTTCTGAAAGCACAAAGAATTTCACTTTACTGCTTCAATTTTCTATCTGTTGTAATATAGAAGAAAGAGAATTGATTTGTAATTGGGTTCCAATCTGTCCGAGCAAGTTACTATGCATCTTGGAGGGGATAGATAGCTCAGTCAGTTTCTTCTGCTATAAGACGAAGGGATAGGATTTGATCATGTACAAGTTTCCTTCTAGCTCTAAAATTCTGTGATGTAAAGATTTCGAAAATTTCTGCGTGAAAATTGGTTCGTTTGGAAATTAGGTTTCATTAGAAAATTAGTAGTTGTCAGTGGTCATTCCACTCTCTTTAAAAAACTACATGATGGAGGTTTAGAAAGTACTGATAAGATTAAAGAGTTTTGTTTTTAAGTATTTAGTATTTAAGTATTTAGAGGTTTGAAAGTTCAAAGAGAGGAGACATTTTCCTTTACTTATAATTTAATGAGTTAAATTTGTATAAAACCCAGAGTGGAAGCTGAGGGTATCTAGCATTGTTGAAGGCATTTATCTTTTTTTTTAAAATTTATTGATATTCATTAATGACAGCATGTCAGCTTCATTTTCTTTAAAAAAATTTTTTTCTTTTTTTAATATTATGAACTTAATTCAAATATCAACCTTTTCCAATGGCAGGAACAGGAAAAAAAAATGTGTATATGAAAAAGAATATTATGTACAGTTTGTTAATTTTAGCATTTACATGCAACTTAACACTAGTTTCAGCACTACTCTGCTTGTCTATGTCCGCGGGCCTTGGAATCAAACCAAAGGATCTGAGTTCAAATTTGGCCTTAGACATTTACTAGCTGTGTGACTCCGGGCAAGTCACTTAACCCCAATTACCTTCAAAAAAAAAAAGACACTCCTTAAATGGACAGATTCCCTTATAGGGGGCAGTTAGGTTGTGCAGAGGAGGACCTGAGTTCAGATTCGGTCTCAGACCAGACACTTGGCACTTATTAGCTATGTGACCCTGGGCAAGTCACTTAAACCCAATTTCCGCACCCCCTCCCCCAAAAAAACCTTTGTCCCCCCAAAAAGTCTTCACCTCTAACAAATAAGTATAGTCAAGCAAAATGAATCCACACTTTTACCATGTCTAAAAACCTTTGTCTCATTCTGTACTTTTTAGTCTTATCACCTCCCTGCCAAGAGATAGCCATGATTTATGATTAGTTTTTGCAGTTGTCATTGGTTATTTCATTGATCAGAATTGTTAAATTTTTCACAGTTTTCCTTTATTATATTATAGTTGTATAAATTATTGTCTTGGTTCTCACCTCACATTGCATCAGTTCATAAAAGCCCTCCCAGATTTAAAAAGTGCTACTATATTTTTGTGTATCTGACTCCTTTCCCCCGTCTTTGGTCTCTTGGAGTATAGGTCTAGCTGTGGTATTGCTGGGTCAAGTGGTGTGCAGTTTAGTGATGAAGTATAATTCCAAATTGCTTTCTAAAATACGGCTCTACCAACTGTGCAATAGTATGCCTGTCTTCTCATGGGGCCTTCAATAATTGTCGTTTTCCATCTTTGCCAGTCTTGTAGGTGAGGTGGCATGTTTGAGTTGTTTTAATTTCCATTTCTCTTCTTATTCGTGAGTTAGGCTATTCATATGGTAACAACCTTCTTTTGAGAGTTGTCTGTTCACATACTTTGATAAAACATTTATCTATTGGGGAATCAATATATCTGGTTCTTATTAATTCCATCTCCGGTAATCCTCTCTGTTCCTTGTTTGGTGGAGAACATTTTTCTTATCCATACTAGTGAATGGTATCTTTTTTACTGCTTTTCTATCTTGTGATATAGCTTTTTATATACAGATTATATATCTATTTGGAGTTTATTGTGGTATAAGATG